GGGAGGTTTCGGTGGAGGATGTGAAATGTCGTGAAGTTAAGGTATTTTATTTAATGAAATTAAAATTTCTAATCAAAGCGGAGGATACAATAGATTGACGTAGAAATTCATTTTCAAATCGGAGCAATTCATTCCGTCACACGTATATATGTACATTGGTAACGCGGCAGTCGAAGTGTTGGGGGATAATGTGCGGTCGGAAAGTCATAACTTTACTTTGTATTTTTTCAGTTATTACTCGAGATCTTTTTAAATGAAATAAAAGCGAAAATGCAGCTGTAAGCTAGCTTCATTTAGAATATGCTTTTTCAGAATTTTAAGGCAGCTGTTAAGAGTTGAAAAAAATAATATATTCTCCAAGGCTAATTTTCTCAAAAAGTTCTTCGATTGACCATTACTATTAGGGGGACCGGAAAGTTATATCGTTTGTTCACACTAAATTCAAACAGATAAATTTTTAACTAGTTTTTATTTTCAATCAATGATGTAATCACCCTCATTATCACTTTCCGGTCTCCCTAATATATTGCTATATACTATTTCTAAGTCAGCGCTAATAAGAGTAATAGAGTTTTATAAAATCTTTGTAAAATTTTTATAAGAACTGATTAACGCTTAACGGACGGGTCACGTAGATTTACGTTGATTTTTTGAATTATATTTACTGAATTGAAATTATTATTATTGAATTTTACTTGAATTTGTATTACTAATTATTATTTTATTATTAATACTTTATTGATATTTTATGAAATACAAAACTTTGTAAAATGTTATCAATAATAGCGTCGATTTAATAAAACTGCGACGCCTCAAAAAAAAATACGCGTTTACTTAATTCCCTTAAAAAATGCCCGAAAACTGAGAACGACAGAGAAAAAACAATCCGTCTGTTAACATCGCATCGATCGAACAAAAACTGTGCCCGGATTTCCAGCCGCGTCATTCGACAAAGAACGAAACGGACTTGCAGCGATGCGTTTTTCTTTAAAATTCACCAGTAATTCTCCCGGAAACCGTGTATATCGTTAGAAAGTCCGACCTGCCTGCGATCTCATCGGTTCAAGCGGAAAACCAATATCTGTTTCCGGCGAAAAGCGTTTGATAGCCTTTGATTCATTTTCGTGTAGCGCATACCGTTTGCGGAACTTGCGAGACCGGTCTCGCAGGTGTAAACGCGCGGTTCTCGGGATCGTGCAAGCGTGTCGCGGCTGGTGCGCGCCGCCGATCGGTTTCATGAATATGAATATTCTTTCGCGGAAGCGGCTAATAAAATCGAAGCTCGCCGGCATAGGACACGCGCCGCTCGTCCCGTCGTTCCCAGGCCGTAAAACGGCTCGCGGATCGGCCGAACGATCGCTTTCCCAGAAAGCTTATCTCCTAATGAGCCGTCTTAGCTCTGGATGCTTGGTCGCAGCCTGGCACGGGGACCCGTGTAACATCCTGCGTTACGTTGCATTAGGCAAATCAGGGACACCGGAACACCGTGAACGAGCGAAGACACGAACGCCAGCTGGTCGACCAGCGTAACACGAGGAAAGCGCCAGTTAGACGCAATCGGGTTACCTCGAGGTTCCCATCGCCTGATCCTAACGTTTTTCTTGATTGCGCTCCTGTTGCGTGCCACGCCGGGTAATATCAGCGATCAAACCCTTTAGAGATTCCGAAAAAAACTCGAATTTTCAACAACGTCTGCGTGCCGAAGAAATTTTCTCCCAATATCTCGATGAAGTCGTTCTCGTTCAAACCCTTCACGGATTCCGAAAAACACGAATTTTTAACAATATTTTGGTATGGTATAAATCTTCTCTCAATATTTCGGTGAAGTTGTTCTCGTTCAAGTCCTTTACGGATTCCGAAAAACTCGAATTTTCAAAAATGTTTCCGTGTCGAAGAAATCTCTCAATATCTCGATGAAGTTGTTCTCGTTCAAACCCTTCACAGATTCCGAAAAACACGAATTTTTAACAATATTTTGGTATGGTATAAATCTTCTCTCAATATCTCGATGAAGTCGTCCTTGTTGAAACCCTTTACAGATTCCGAAAAACACGAATTTTTAACAATATTTTGGTATGGTATAAATCTTCTCTCAATATTTCGGTGAAGTCGTTCTTGTTCAAGCCCTTTACGGATTCCGAAAAACTCGAATTTTCAAAAATGTTTCCATCCCGAAGAAATCTCTCAATATTTCGATGAAGTCGTCCTTGTTGAAACCCTTTACAGATTCCGAAAAACCACGAATTTTCATCAATATTTTGGTGTCGTATAAATCTCTCAATAAATCGATGAAGTCGTCCTCATTCAAACCCTTTACAGATTCCGAAAAAACACGAATTTTCGACGATATTTTGGTATCGCATAAATCTTTTCTCGCAATATTTCGATGAAGTCGTCGTCGTTCAAACCCTTTACGGATTCCGGAAAACACGAATTTTCAACAATATTTCGGTGCCGTATAAATCTTCTCACAATATTTCGATTGAAATCGATAGAGTTCGATGGTTTAGAGACAAGGTGATCTCGGAGCAAATCGAAACAGATTCGAAACTTTCGGCATTGTGTCGTCGCTTGAACAGCTAGCTGAAACTAATTGTGAGCTTCCAATATCAAGATTATTGCTGCGTTCATTTCCAGTAGATTCCGTTAAGTTCAACAATGACCGGATCCGACCAATCCAAAGCTGCGATTCGATTTGTTTCGTACATTCGTATCGTATCGCTGTTGCGTATCATAATTGCATACGCGCGTCCGTAAACGCAACGATGCAGCTCACCGAGGCCTGGAAAACCGTCTTTCGTTACTAAACGTCAATTCTTCGAGTTCTATATGCTGGGAACATTACTTTTGCTATTAGGTGATAACCTTTTAAAGTTCTCGAGTGCAAGATTTTATTCGGTTTATCTGAGCATCGTAAAATTCAATGTTAAACAATTCGTGCCTTAATTGTTGGATATTAGAAAACAGGCTCATGATTTTGTATACGTTGGCTGGTGTACTTAAAATATTTGGACACTAGATTTACGAAACCCGTCAAAATGACGGATCTCTAATTTTTTAATTTACGATTATTCGTATCGTAAAGATACATTTATGAGTTATTTATTCGATTTATATGTTACTTACGACAAATTCTATAATAACACTAGTTAAAAATCAGAATAAATGTCTTATTGTTACTTTTATAAACTAATATGAAACAGCTGTAAATCTAGTATTAATTTAGCATTTTTTAATCCATACACAAATAGCGCAAAAATTTATAACAATTCGAACTTTGGGAAAACTATGAAGAGTCACGTGGGCAGGTCCTCGTTTATACGAACAATTCCTAAGAAGAGCATGTCAATTTTAAGCGCAGTCTCTAGCATCCGTCGCGTACACAATAATTTTAACAAATAGATGCGACGTAAGTCTTCTTATTCGCTGCAACATGGTGTTAGTTTTCGCGAACACTAGATATCGATTGCGTTCCAATAGACTCCTTTCCGTTACTTTAGTCTTCAGTCGAATATTCGAAACGAACAGCGAAACATATCTCATAGCGAACGAACTTACTGAATTTTTTGTATACCTCGTATATAGTAAAGTCCAAATTGTGCAGTATATTGTTATAATACATATATATTATTATATTATATTATACATATCATATACATATCTGTACAGCATATTTACCTACATACATATATGTACAGCATATATACAGCATATCAATACTATTAATTAAATACATCGTATAAAAAAATATCGACGTACGCGACCCTTCAATTTTCACCGCGACAAAACATTCTCGAAATCACTCTGCGCTTCTCCGTTCACGCTCCTCCGTTCAACAGCGACACGGCACAAGAATACCAAGCAAACAATCTCCCAAAACCGTTTATTCGAAAACATCAAATAGCTCCTCCCAGTCGCGATCGAATTATCCAGCACATACCCGAGCACCTCGGAACACTGCCAATCGGCCCGTCGCGACGCACCAAAGATCAAATCCCGCAAATCCATAAAAGCAGGGCGGTCGCACATCGGTTACAGCTCGGACCTCGGGGTCCCGCGAAAGCAGGCCATCGCTCGATTTTCCGCGGGCCGGATAAATCGAATAAACCGATCTCGCAGTATAAAAAGAAACACGTGTACGCAGGAAAGAGAGAGAGGGAGAGAGAGAGAGAGGGAGAGAGAGAGAGAGGGAGAGAGAGAGAGAAAGTGAGAGCGCGCGAGTGAGAGAGAGAGAGTGTGAGAGCGCGCGAGTAAGAGAGAGAGAGAGAGAGGGAGAGAGAGTGAGAGCGCGCGAGTGAGAGAGAGAGAGAGAGTGAGAGCGCGCGAGTGAGAGAGAGAGAGTGAGAGCGCGCGAGTGAGAGAGAGACCGGAGATCGATGAGCAGATCGGCGGGGGTAGGAAACTCGGAGACACGCCGGACCGTCGAGGAGGGTAGCCGGAGCGAGCGGCGAGCCTCCGCGACGAGAATGGTCGTTGCAGGTGCACGTTTCCCTGCGAGCCGAGTTGCACCTGAACTCGTAGTCGGCCTCCGGGAGGCCAGCGAACAGGCACGGCGTAGCGGTGGGGCGGGATTGAGCGCGAGGTGGTTGTTGCGGGGGTGGTTGCGCACACGGTTGAAGCGTCGCGTGCAAGGACACGAGCAGGTACAGCTCGCCGCCGTGCACAGGCCGTACAGGTGCAGGCGGCGCAGGTGTACACGCATAGACGCAGGTCTATGGGCACACTATGCTACGGGGCCGCAGGTATACGCTCGTGTATGCGCGCGCGCGCGAGCGTGTGTTTCTGTTTGTGTGCATGGAGAGAACGGAGAGACAGAGCGAGAGCAGGGGTGCTCTCTCGTCAGGCTTCGGAACGCTGGGAACGCGCACACTTTCGCGCAGAAACTATCGCGTGTAAGTTGTCGGGTAGGGAGTCGCTCCGACTCGCTCTCGCAGGTAGAAAACGGGGGTTGTCGAAGGGGTGGGAGGGTGGTGAGCGCGCGGCTGTCGGTCTAACGCGGTGCGGCGTAGTCGTCATTGGGCGTCGGGACACCGTGGGCGACGCGGTCTCGGCCCGGTAGTACGCTCGAAAAGGTGAGCACGCGCGTCGTCGAGTGTGTTTTCGGGCCGCGTAGCGCAACGCGACGCAACGCGACGCAACGCGACGCAACGCAACGCAAAGCAACGTAACGTAACGTGACACAACGCGTAGCGTAACGGCGTAACGTAACAACGTAACGTAGCGTGAAGCAGCGTCGCTCGGTCCTCGCGTGGCGGCGACCCGCTTCTTTCCGCCGCATCGTTCCAACCATCTCGCACAAACTGACACTCGCACACGCACACACAAACAAGACATTCGCACCCCCGTCCACGCAACACGAGACACCGACGCATGGAACGATGACGGTCCCGCGAGCCCCGTCGATCTAGAAAATGTGGATTACGATCGGTCCGGCCACGCGATTCGTTCACCTGTGCGCGCCGCGAGTGTTCTGATTCGACGGAGACGGAGCGAGTTCTGAAATAAAGTTCGACTTCGGCCGCGAGAGCGAGAGAGGGGCAGAGAAAGAAATAATATATAGTGCGACACACCACGACGAGTGCGGGGGCCGGTTCGCTTCGAAGAGGGTTCTAGATAGATATCGGTGGTGAGACCGCCACGAGTGTGCATCGGGTTCGTTGGTTCGGAGCGAAGGTGGAGGAGGCAGCGCACGATGAGACGGACGACGAGAGGATGTCGCGCGGGTACCGCGGGATTATTCGCCGTCGTCGTCCGGCCGCGTCTCGCCGAGCCCAGGAACGCTGGTCCGGTGGGCCACCAGGCCCGATACCTATGAACGGGCCCGTCGCCAAGCCGTGTCATGATCTGATGGGACGAGTCATGTCACGTGTCGTCGGGACGCTGATTGCGCGGTCCGCGCTGCTCACCAGCGTCGCCGCGGCGATCGTCGTGCTGTCCTGCTGCTGCAGGTGCACGAGAGCCAGCGAATTCCCCGAGAGAGAGTGCTGCGACCTGATTTACCCCATACAGGAGCCCACCGGAAGGTCCACGTCCGCTCCGACACCCACCGGAAGAAGCGGTGAGTCGATCTTCTAGCTTCTTCCTTCGATCCGGAGCGACGAGATATCGCCTGCGACACGGTCGTCGCGGATCCGGCGAGTTTTCTCGTTCCAGCGAGAAAAGCTTCGGGATAGATTGATTCGGGGGGGAGGTCACCGAGGCTGAAGATCGTTCGCGATAGCTCGTAACACCGTTCGCCTCGTGTCGGAGTGCCGAAGTCGTGATTATGGTGTTTCGAAGTGTTCCGCATAAATTTCGCTCGTTTGCCGCGTCCACGGTTAATCGTAGTCCCGGATCGTTCGCATTTGTTAGCGAACAGCCGCGAACCCGTTTCGCTGAAACGCGGTTCCGGAGAATTTTTATGCACGCTCGAGAAACAGGCACACGCTGTTTTACTCGTGGCGAGGAGTCGAAGCGTGTGTTATTTATTCGTACCTTCTGTAACCCGGTTTTATAGGTTGTCTACGGGAGGTACGGATAGATCAGGGGTGGCCAAACTTTTGATCGCGTCGATCGTTTTGGTCGTGACCTGCTTTTTCTGAGTTACGGACGACGGTCCATCGATATCGTATGTGTTGAGCGATCGTACGAAAATTGAAGCTAAAAATGAATTGAAATTTAAAGTAAACATAGATCATTCTTACGATTGTAAGAGAGCTAGTAATTTATAGAGCCAGAAACGACTTTGATCGCGTCGATCGTTTTGGTCGTGACCTGCTTTTTTTAAGTTACGGACGACGGTAAAAAAAAAGCAGCAATTTGAAGCTAAAAATAAATTGAAATTTCAAATGAACATGGATGATTCTTACGATTGTAAGAAAGCTAGTAATTTAGAGCCAGAAACGAGCTTCAATTTAAAAGAAACACAGGTAACATCGGACAGGCGGGCGACTAAGAATAATAGCGCGGTCGATGCTTTGGTCATCCCTGGAATAGATAGTAAATACTCTGCCATGAATCCAAAGTAAGATACCCGCGCGAACTATCGTATCCGTAGATCTCTCGCATTTCGCGGTTAATCCGCCGAATATGTCAGAAATTAGCGTTGCTAATCTGCGAACTTTGGCTGTCAGGGTTGACATTAACTCTGTCGCTGTGCAAAGCCGGCGCTCCGGCGAGCTGTCTGATTTTCTTCGGACGCGTTCGAACATCGAAGTCGAAGGGACGCGCGAACGCTTCTTCGAAATCCAGCGAAATGTCCGCACGCGGCATACCCGCGCGGTGCGTGAGGTCCTTAAAAAGCGCTCTCTGAAAGGCGGTTCTTCTTCGAGAAGCGCATTCACTGTTTTCCTTTCACCGACCACCGCGGCCGGGCAAAGAGGTCAGCTTTATAGAGATTTGTTGACGTTCCCCTGGAAAGCTCAGCCGATTCGTAAACACGGCTGTCGCGTGCATCGACGAGGGGAATGCCTCTGTGAAAAAACGTGGCCGGGCCGTACCTTTCGAACCCCTGTAACACACCCCCGTGTACTTTAATCTCGTGTTGATCTTGTAACTCGAATTATTAGGGGAATAATTGTAGCAAAGTCTTGTCACGAACGTTCCGCGCGATTCTTTAGAAATCAGCCTGATTCTTTTAGGATTCGAACTTGCACAGATGGATGAAAATGTTTTGATATTATTGTATTCTTTCGATTATTTTAGATTTCTTTCGATTTCTTTCGATTTATTTTGATTTCTTTCGATTTCTTTCAATTTATTTCGATTTCTTTCGATTTCTTTCGATTATTTTTTAAATTTTCCTTACTGGCAAATGCTATATACTAGATCATTTTTAACAATGTTAATTGCTACAGATTTCTGTAGACTTCTGTGTCTTCTTTTACAATTAATTTACATCTACGAAATACAAATGTTCGTGCTCCAAAATTCAAGCATCGTAATTTAATCGAACGTCGTAGATCATTTCGTCGGTTCACATAATTGCTAAAGGAATGAGTCGTCGACGATCACGAAGGGATGGAATTAATGGTTACGTATATCGACTGCAACAGGAGGATCATCGCCGACCGAGAAAGATCTATACAATTCCACGAAAGAAAGTGACTCGACACGCGAGAATTTTTTTGAGCAGATCTAGCCCACGAAATCGCGAACAGTCGGTCTTGCTAGGGTTAAGCAACGGCGGCATTGAAATCTCGCGATCACCGGACCGCGTTGATGTCGGCGGTCGGTGGTAATTGATCGAATCGGATTAAAAAAGCGGGACGATGGTTGTTTTCGTGGCTCGACCGGCGGACGCTCTCGAGCTTTCGCATAGTCTGCGGGCGAGGGTCCGTGTCTTTGATAGAAAAAAAAGAGGCCGGTTCCGCCGGGGACGGGTATTTGTGATCGAACGGTTCCGAAGAGGAAGCCAATAATTGAACAGGAACCAATAACTGTACGTATAGAGAGACAGGGGGAGAGAAAGATGGAGAGAACAAGAGAGAACGAGTGAGAGAGAGAGAGAGAGAGAGAGAGAGAGAGAGAGAGCGACAAACGTATTTTGCTAGCCAGCCAGCAACTATTACTAATTTCCGTGGAGGGACGAGCGGATTATTAATTCAATTAGGATCAGTTATTAATTCAACAACGACGGTTTATCGACGGTGGGTGTATCGACGCGACGCGCGGTGCTAATTCGACCGGCGACGCGACGCTCCTAATCGAGTTCGGAACCGGGTTTCGGCCGGTTAGAGGGGCCACCGTTGAGAATGATTCTCTCTCTCTCCACCGACAAATCTGAAAAATCCGAAATGCCGAAAGTACAACATTTCGAAAGTACGCTCTGTAAATTTCGCGGTCGAATTCACTGGAATAACGAGATCGCGCGCACCATTTAGTACGATGCGTAAAGCTCGCAACATCGAAAAAATGTAAAACTTTCGGCGCGTTTTTCTCGAAACCACTGTGTCCGGAAGTTAATCGAACACACAGCTCGTTCGATTTTGGTACATGTTGGTCCAGGTGTTGCGAGCGTCGATAATATTTGGGCAACGTTTAAAACGCAATACTTTTTTCGAAAATTGGATACGGACCTTTTTTGAGACGCGAAAAATCGGGACGAAAAAAGGTTTTCGGCGTGCTCAGTTTACCGGACATCGATTGGAAAAGGTTTTAGGCTAGTTCAAACGTGTTTGGACCGTTTACTAAACAACAATGAATAAAAATATGTTCAGACGAATTAATTTACTAAATAACAGGTGCAACAATGTTTCGACCGATCAGATTATTAAACAACAAGCAGAACAACTTTTCGACCGATAATTTTATCAAGCAACGAATACGAAATATTTTTACGAAATTCTCGATCGACGCGAATGCCGAAAACAATCTGAAATCCACAAGAAATCTGGAAATTCCGATATCCTTCGATATTCGTAATTGATTAAAAAACGCTTTAAAAACGCATGATCTTCGAATTTTTCCAATTCATCGTCTGCAAACTCAAAGGATAAATTCAAACGATTCGATCCAATTTCAGAGAATATACCGCCTCTTAAAAAGTGGCCGAATATAGTAATCGTTACTCGCCGTCCACCGTCGATACGAGTATCATTTTTAATCCGCGCGATCCTTTCCGGTAACTATCGACTGAAGAAATTCGGTACTCTCAGCGAAGTAGCGACGTCGGGTCAAGTTCCCGCTCAGGCTCGAATCGTGCCGAGTCCTTTGTGAGAATCGAAGTTCTCGTTTCCGTCGACGAGTCCATCGAGACACGTAGCAACGCTCGAAGATAAATTGTGATTGAAACTTGCAGAAGATAAGGGATCGGGTGGCAGCCGCGCCGGCTAGCTTGCCGGGTGCGCGTTTAGGTTACACCGTCGTGGATCGGGGTAGAACGATCAGCTTTTGGGAAACGTGGAGAGACGTACCATCGATTCGGGGCCCGAGCACGGCCCGCGAACGAAAACCAGACTGTGTTCGACTGTGTTTTACGGATTCATGGACTTTCCTCGGAATTGAACGCGTTTGCTGAATTTACAACCGGACCCTTGCCCTCCTCCTTCCCCCCTCCCGCGATCCACGGCCGCGCAGGTGAAAACCCTCGCCTGGAACCGGCGTTATAAACAGCGCCAGGGGCTCAACAGATCGCGCGCCACGTAAATAGTATCCTCCGATGTATTCAATCTTCCAGCCGCGATTAATTAATCAACCCGGGCCATAAATATTCATCGAGGTCAGAGGCTGACGGTTCACGGAGGGGAACTCGCGCGATTTTCACGCGTGAAGCTCGCCCACGGACCGGAAAACCCGTCCGAAATTCAGCCAGGAGGTGCGCGAAGAATTTATTTCCATAGCTGAATGCTGATCTTTTCTGGCCAGCATTTTTCGAGCGGCACCTTTCCGAAATTAGATCGAAATCGGAGCGATTCGTTCCGCACGCTGCAACATCGGCTGTTAATGATCCACGATGTTAGTTGCTTTTTTTCTTTGTTCATTCTTCTGCGCACCGATAAGCGAATTAGTTACGCTCTCGGTGCAATCGAACCCATTAAAACGTAGTACTCCGGTGAGTTATTGGTTCATAAAATCGGCGTCGACGCGATAGATACGATAAATTCGATTTAAATAGAGTAATTACAACCGGCGTTTATCATTCGATATTTTTATTTAAAGCGTTGCACACCGTTTCGCGTATAAATATATTTATGTTATATTGAAAGGAGATCCGCGAGAAAAATCTGCAAAGTCTTTCTTAATCGTTTTATCTGCGAATCGTCGGCGGCGAATATGAATTGCAAATATGTACTCGGTTTAAGATACAAACTCGAGCATGTTCGATGAAAATCTTCAATTGAGATCTTCGATCCACTTATCTAATTGCGCCCGACGGAAAGTTCGAGTCTAGATAATGTATCCTTAAATTTTTAGTCGTGTATACATGTCATAAGGAAATGGCAATCGTACATCTTGCAACAGAAATACGTACCTCTCCTACGATCTAGGTTAAAATGCTTGTGAAACGTGTCCATAAATTTCGCAAATTTTAGAATCATTCTAGAAAGAAATAGCGCCCAGCGTGATCGATGAAAACGC